CCTAGATACCTTAGGAATAGTGTGAGTAAGGGAGAACATCTGTTAATATGAGTTGAAAGGAGATAAGTGAGGTGATGAAACTGAAGAAATTAGGAGAAGGGCTGGTTCAGATGACGAAAGCTTCAGGCTCTCACCCTAATGATGAGGATTTACTTACGGTGTCACGTAAAGGTCCTAATCTGAGTGCTGCTGTGCAAAAATGCAGTAAGAGTGAATCCTCTTCCTTTAGAGCATAAAGCTGTGACACTGCATGAGAGGGCTGGGGAAAGGTCTATGTGAGAGAACAGAGATAACTGGAGAAAATTTTGGAGAACTTGAAAAACACAGTGTTGATTTTGAATGGGCTTCTGGAATAGCGATCTGTAGAACGATCTGAGAAAGTGTAGGAATGATAGTTTTCACATGGAAGGGTTGCTGAAGTATCTCATTAACAAAAAAGTTGTTACACAGAATATGCAAGGATGAGACTTCAATAATTATGTCACACCTCTGATACTTGGGTTTTCTTATTTTATGCTGAACTTGCAGCCAAAAAAACCCCATTAGAAGTTATACGCTAAAGTACATCACCTTTAGTTGCACGTCAGTGTTTAGCAGTATCTGAGGCCTCCTGATAAGCCACTAGACTTACTCAAACTGCAAATAAACCTAGCAATTTACAGGCACTTTTTGTTGCTGCTAAATTTTAAGTTGTGGTTCAGGTCTGCCCAGAGTATTGTTTTTCACTCAGTAGTGGTTGCACATACAAACCCTGCAACCAGCCTGAAAATAGAAAATTATATAGCTGAGTTAATTGAAAATCTGCTTATGGTGCATGGTGGCGTGAGCAGTAATTGACATAAAGTGCTGCTTAGCACACAGAATCAATTATTTTCGATTGACATAAAACAGGAAATCGTTTAATGTCAGATTGATATTAATGAGCACAGTTGTACTAACGAGTGCAAGACTATCTGCAGCATTTGATTTCTTTTTCTGGTAAGGAACTTGATACAAAGTAAGCGCAGTCCTTAGAGGCAAGGATACCATGTTTTGAAAAATGAATTTAATGGTGAATTAAGGGTAAGATTGTTATTGTAGGAATCATTTCTGAAAATGGGATAGTGCTTATTTGGGCAAGCCATGACTATATTGTTAAAGTCTGAGAATCGCAACACAGTCTTTGACTCATCACTGGAGAGGGAAATTTTGTTAATAGTAAAGATCAGGATGATTCTGCAGTGGTGATGAGCATGTCCGAGGAAGTACAACTATGGTAGAAAGAAGTGGAATCACTGAGGAAATATTTTCTCCCTGGCTTGACCCAACTGCTGCAAAATTGGTCTGACTCCCTTCTTTCCTGGCCAGATACTAAAAGTGACTAATAATATCTCCCTGAGAACTGCCTGTACAGTATTGTACAGTTCTCCCCAGACAAATACCCTACAGCTAGCAGCCGAGGGACCAATTGTCTCTGCTGTACAAGAGGGGTGGAACCTGAGTGAGAAGAATGTGAGAGATGTTACAAAATGTCCTTATTTTTATAAAAAAAATAAATGTTGACCACCTGTAAGTGCTGTGGCCAGAGATCTGTACATTCTCCACACTCAGAATCCAACCTCTTCATATCACGGGTGCCTGAAAGGGGCGACTTTGCAGCTTTTGAGAAAGTGCTTTAGCAGCCACCCCATTTCAGTATCCTTTTCTGGCAGAACAGAAGCACTGAGACTTCTTACTCCTCAGTTTAGACATGGGAAGTTAATTGTTTAAAACTAAGTTATCTGGCCTCCTCCTGTGGTCAACAGAAAGAGACAGACACCTGCAGAGGGAGATCAGTATGGTCCACCTCAGATACTGATAAGGGGATGGGATGCATGTCTCTTCCATTTACAAGAGGGTGGAGCCCAGCTGTCTCCTCTTGCTTGAACATTGCTAACTTTTAGATAACTAAGATTAGATAGGATGTGTTCTATACGCCATATCTGTAGCAGCCCTCAGAGGAGGAAATACAATAATATAAATGCAGGATAAGACAAGAATGCCTTTGCTTTGCTCTTGTCCTAGCCTTGGTATAATCACTTGTGGCAATGCAAAATAACTATGAAAGGAACAAAATGCCTCTGAGCTACTTACCAAGTAATATAATGATACAGAGAAGAATGGCAATAAGAGCCCCAGTGCTAAGACCAGTGGGATGAATCAAGGCTTCTGCATTACAGGACAGCATCTTTCCTCGATGGTCACAAGCACACACTCGAATAGTCACCGTTTCAGTGCTGCTCTGGATAGGGTAGTCATTGTCTGATATTACCACTGGCAAGAAGTAGGTACTCATTTCATGCCGGTTATATCTGGTTTTTCGGGTGAAAATCCCTGCTGTGTTGTCTGGAAACACAAAGCACACATTAAATCTTCATCTGAAGACTGAAAGCAGGGATGAGATAATAAAGAAAAGTCTTGCTAGAAATTCACCTCTGTTGTCCTGTAGTGTAAAGTTTGAGCTGCTGGCTGCCTCGGGAGCTAAGGAGAATGAAAACTGATGTCCACTGTAAGAGTCATCTTTATCAACAGCACTTAATGTTTGTATCAGCTGAAACAATAAGAAAAAAATTATCTTCAAAGTCAGTGGACCTTATGCTTATTTATGTACTCTAGGATTGTAAAGCAATCTTATTGCATTAATTTTTTTCTTCTGCTTTAAGGCAGCTGATGCTGCTATGGTGAGCTTAAGAAAAGTGATCCATGTGCTGCTGTTTAGGATCACCATGCTATTGTATCCCATTCCATCAGCCAGTAACATAATGAATTTGAAAGCTGGCAGGAAAATCATGTTGAATTCAAGCGCAGACTTGGGTTGATGCCACTCCAGACACGTACAAAACCTTTGCATGTGACAAGTAATAGAGATGAAAGGTGAGACAGTCCAAGCTGACTGTGTATTTATCTACTGAAATCTCATGTCACAGGAATTGTTTGGCTGAATCTTCCAAATTATCTGCTACTTTGAACCATTTAGTAATAGGACTGGTAGAGTGAGAATTACCTGGCAGGAAATAGTTCTATAACAGACAGGACCTGTGACAGTTACGGACCTGAAACTGTTTTTAAAGGAGACAGTGGAGATGCCTGAATAAGGCAGAGAATCATAGAATGAAAATGAATCAGGGATAACTAGGTGCAGTACAGAAAACAACAGCGTAAAACATACCGTCACGTTAGCTGCAAGAATACTAAGTGTAATCAGATACTGTGCAGCCACTGTTTAGCTTAATTTTGCAAAACCGACAGTTTGATGCAATGCAAAGTGTACCTCTTGATGAGGTGTTGCAAGTAGCAAAACTCAATTAATTTGGAATGTTTTCTTAGTACAAGCAGACAACACACCTGTTCTGCCTTTGCATTTTCACAGACGAAAGTCTCGTAAAACATGGCAAACTCTGGAGCATTGTCATTTACATCCAAAACCTTAATGAACACTGGGACACGGCTGCTTTGTTTTGGGTTGTCTGAAATGATAAAATCAGAAAGGATAGAGATTTTATTTAGCCCAGTTACTGACTCAGTGCAGGGGAAGAAAAGGACAGGCTTAGGGGCTCATGGCCTTAATTCTTCTCACTCACAACGCTCCACTTACATTCTGTTGATTTCTGGGGAATGCATTATGGGGTGAATTCCACAAAATCATGCTGTGTTATCATTATTCTGATTCTGTGTAAGCTATACAGTTACGGTTGGATAGGAGTCCAGGATGTACAAATTCTTTGGGACACTCCAGGTATGATTATGAATGTAAGATACATATATAAATATAATACTGGAATTAAATTAAATCAAATCTATTTATTAACCTCACTGATACAGTATGGTAGCAACAAAGTTTCTAGAACATATTCCCTTCCCTAAGTCTGGAACTGGACGACGGGAGAGTCATGAAGACGTGATTGAGTGGGTTTTTTCCTCCCTTCCGTTATATTTGATATTCTGTCCCCTACAAATCTCATGACAAACTTCCTTAAGCTACCATGATTACCATTATGTTATATAAATAGTAACTGCGGCTGTGATCACAAATACATTCTAATCTCTCATGAATTGATTTGGCTGATATTCTAGAGTTAACACTAAAATGTATCAGCTGAAAAAAATAAGCAGTATATAGAATCTGCAGATCCCCATATGTAAACCTGTTTTTTTCCCTATAAGGACTGTATAGTGCCAAGAGAATGAATTTGACAAGGATATTCCTGAGCATAAAATACTGATGAAAATATCGTCATCTTTCTAGATAAAAATGAAAACATTTGGAAATGCACCACATTGTATAGAACATTCCTTTTCCTCTTGGGAGGAGACAGGCTTTAGTCATGAAGACATGCAAAATAAGGAAGAAAGGCAACAGGCAGCAACCTTGCCTAGGAGCCATGAGAGATGAAATAGGCAAGATTCTGAGGCAAAAAGTCACATCATAACAACCATCATCTCCTAAAAGGTACAAGACCTGCCCAGAAACCAACTTGTCATCACCGGTCAAAACAAAACCAAGAGAGATTGATCTGTGTCCTTTGTGCTCCATATCACACACAGCATGATCTAGGCCAGCTCACCCAGACATACCCACCTCAGTGCCTGGGACTATGTGGGTGTGGGAATGTGAGAGAGTGAAATCTATGAAGGAAGGAATGTGATTGAAATTAGTTTCTTTTAAAATAAACACCTTTCCCCTCCCTTTCATGAGGGCTCATACAGAGTTTTGCTATGTTAATTTCCTACGTGTGTTAATATAGTTTATTAATACATTTTAACCTATGATGCAAGTGAAAAAAATAGTGCAATAAAATATAGCAGATCTAAGACTCTGTATGCTTCTACAAGCATTCATTATGGTAGCTTGTTGAGTTAGGCTTTAATACAAGTCCTATTACGGTGTTTATCATACTTTTCTAAATTCAAAAATGCCTTCTCCAACATTGGCACTGTATATTTTTATTACAGAGCTCAGTCACTTGGACAAAATATTGTGCTTTAAAGCTCCACAGTCCCATTGAAGTTAATATGATTCCATTAGGCATAAACCGCTTTCTAATATGAATCATTGGGCTAAATTCATTCAGTGTATAAAATAACAGTTTATGTATAATATAGACTAGGTTGAATTCTATGCTAAAATATATCAATACAAATGTTGAATTTTTATAATAGACAGAAATAAGAGGCACTCATTTGAAGTCGCAGGACTATTGGCAAGACTATTTTATAAGGGCATACTTTTCTAACCAATACATGCTAATATATTGGCAAATGTGTTTCTTTTCCTCTCAAGGATTATAATTGTTTTCTTTCCTGCTTTTTGAACCATGAACTACATATTTTCATTTTACTTCTAGGTGCTTAAGAGTCTCAGAATTTCAAATGAAACTGTAATAAATAGGAACTTTGCAAAAACTCTATGCTTTATGGACATGGGCCTTTTTTCTGATTTAATGGAAATGTAAGTTGAAATATACGTATACATCTTAAAGTCTTTTTTTATCATCTTTCAAATTATTTTTGCAGATTAATTGGTGCAGGTTAATTTGTTTGCATTACCCCTCAATTACTGCTGGGCTCCATCTCCAAAAAAAAGCTCCACAGACTCAATGAAGTGCTTAAATCTATTCATCTCTGTAGTGGTATGTTCTCTGTTGAGCCAGCAACCAAACTGTTAAAGTTTTGGGTTTTGGTTTTGGTTTGTTGGTTTTTTTCTGAATACAGTCTTAAAGTCCTGCCAATGCTTGATTTACCCTTAAGTGTTAAGTAAAGAACATTTTAAAATACTCTGGGAATTCTCTCCGGTAAATCATCTGTAATTCTGCAGCTGTGAATCAGTAGCCCTGTGTACTGAGTTTGATTGCCACTTTGTCTTCTGACCATGGCATATGTACTGACCCAGTGTTTCACCAACTATTTGCTTGAAACATTCACAGCATGATTCTCTGGGCTGCTGAGCAACTGCAGCTCATACTGGTGAAAAAGAAGAACATTCAAAAATGGAGCTACCTAAACTTACTGACAATTTTAGATGAAGGCAAAACAAATTCCGTATTTTAATTTTTTTTTTCTACTGTAAAATGAAATCAAGAACAGTCATCACTGAAAGGTGTTTCTCTTTATGACTTTATCTTTTTTTGTATTTATTTACCTTTTTTTATATCAAAGGGAGCACCCATCAATCTGAATGCGCATCCTGCCTGTGACTTGATTCGATATTTCTTTTAGATTACTTCAGTGAAATATACCTGGAGTCCGATGTGATGCAATGCCACTGATAGCAATCAGTGATTAGCTGGAATTTAGTGGAATGGGACTTTAGCTAGCCTTGCTAGAAATTACCGGGTTTAACTAGGAGCATTAAGAGGTGCTTTCCAGTCTACTCACTTGAGACTAAAATTAGTGAGGTAGCCTGGATCAGACCAGGGCTTGTTTGAACAGTAGCTGCATTTCAGCCAAGAAAATTGCCTTTGGAAGGCATCGAGCCCAGTTATGCCAAATTTGGTCTAGGCTCAGTGAAGTACAGCCTGGGAAGTAGCTTGTTGCAGCCTGGAAGGACTCAGACTAAAGCAGAATGGTAATTAAGACAGAAGCCTTTGTCAGACACAAAAGGTTTAGTTGAGAGTGTTTGGGTCAGTAGAAGGTCTGTCCTTAGGGGAGGAGGCAAAGAATTAAATGAGTATTTCATATAGATGCTAAGTTGGTTTTCACTTATTGTACCGTTTTCTATACTGTATATTATTTCATCTCCTTTGGGATCAATACAAGTGTTCTTCCTAAATGCTATTGCTAGTCTTTTTACTTTTCAGGTGTTTATTTTTCCTCTGAGCTCCTCCTCTACCCAGGAGCTCAGTCTGTAGTGTACAACTCTTGACCCTAGATCACTCCTTCAAAACTTAACTGGATCACAAACACCTGACTAACAGGCAGCCAGAAGTCAGTGTTTGGTATGCTGAAACCACATAGCTAGCATTAAAAGGTGAAAGCTTTCAAGAGAGGGACAAAACTATTAAGAAACATCATTCCTGTAAGCTTTACCCCAGTACTCTTTTACATAACCCCATCTGCTTGCCTCAATAGCATTGTTTCACATCAGTTTTAAGTTTTAAAAAGACCTAGAGAATAAAGAAAGCTGGAGTCAAGTACTCCTTAGTTATACTCTCCTCACCATTCAGCAGCTGATTGAGCCATATACACATACACACAACATAAGAAAGTAGAACTTATATTGTCTCAGATTGTTTAAAAAATAAAATAGCCATTTAGCCTTTATGTTGCACAAAGACTTTGTGATGGTCATAGAAGTGGTGTTTATATTAGATCTATCTACCATCCTACCGTGCTTCACAATCGTAGGCACTGTGATGCTGCAAAAGTGAATAGAATTTAATTTGCTGCTACTTGACCATGTCACATGCTTATAGTTAATGTATTAAAATAAAGATGATTGTTTATTAAGGTCACCGCGGATACATGTCCTTATCTAGATCCCTGGCATTTCAGCTCCTAAAATGATTACGACTGGTATCACAAGATTACATCTTCTGAGCAATCCTAAACTAAGTGACAGACTGATTTGTAACTATGCCTCGTAATTTCAAAGGATGCTAAAGAAGTTAAAAATGGAAATCCTTAAACCAGATTAAGATCTGGGTACCTCACTCAGCTCGGCCACCTTAGTCTTACTCGAAAACATCCAGCCTGTGCTATATTCAGTCTGGATCAGACTGAATTAAGCCATGGAATGCAGTTTGGCTTTAAACCATCTTTCTTGCTGCATACCAACTTCAGAATTCAATAATCATGTTCAAAATTAAAAATGGCTATTACTGATTAGAAAACGCAGAGTTGTTACCTTTCTTCCCTGCTCAGCTAAGTTACCTCTTCATGAACTGTGTTCCTAAGTAAACATAAAACTGCAGACCACCTCTCGCAGAGTTTCCACTTCTTCATTAGTATTGAGTGGACTATCCATATAACCTGACATCTGCCCAGCCGCGCTTTCCACACGCTCAGCTAGAAGCTAAATTCATTACATCAGGGACAGCAGTGGTATTTAGCTTTGACTTACTGATCTCTGCTGCTATTACTGTAATATTGTGCCATAGCAGTGTTTCCCGGTCAAGGGTTTTTGAAGTAAATATCGAACCATTTCCTGAATTGATGTTGAATACTCTGTCCATATCAGTGTGTCGATCTACAGAATACCTGCAAATACAGAGACAGGGGTTAGGAGAATGCTTTCCTTGTAATTCCTATGTTCTTAAACCATTTTCTAAGAGTAGACATCAAACAGTGAGTAAATGGGGTTGACTTTTGTTTTCAGCACAGGCTTCAGAGTCTTTATACATTCACACAAAGAGCTAGTTCTGAGCTACTGGATAATGACGCATTGGAGGTTTGATTTAGAAGGTGGAGCATTGTCACTGAATAAATGAATTACTGCAGAATTTACATACCTCTGAGAATCATCAAAGCTTTGTTTTTAGTGAGAAATGTGAAGTCTGTGTCCTGAAAGATATGAAGTTTATTTTAAGGCTAAGTTGGCTTTCCCATTACAAACCCCTCTCTTTATGGTTTGATATCTCAACTGTTCCAAATAATTTCTGATGTAAAATTTGACAGCTGGGGTGTATGTCTCCGTTTCATTTCCCAGCATTTGAAAAGACTGTCCCCCAAAAACAAGTCATCACAGAACCGAGATTCATTATTCCACAGTACGTATCACATAAAGGTTTGCTGTAATTCATTATAGCTAACATGCTCAGCTCTGCTTGATGGTATCTAGATGTGAAAATGAACGCTAACAAGCTCTGGAGGAGCTCAGAGTCTAAATAAGGATTCAAATTTTCAGTCTGATCTTTCACTTCTGCTGCTGAACTAAATCCAACTTTAAAAGCAGAACTCTCCAGTTCACAGGAGAGGGTGTTACCACCCTGATACAAATGCTGTGACTTGGTTTTGTGTCTCATGAAGAGAAAATTCTCGCATAAATTATGGAGGTCTTGATGGAAATATGGGTCTGATATTGCTACAGCAAGAATACAGTTGCATTATTCTGCTCTTATTTCAAGCCTGAAAGCGTGCTGATGTACAGTGCAGGACCCAGCGTGCTCCCTTGGTCCCCTTGCAGGTCATGTCGATGGAGACAAGGCAGCTCCTGCCGTCCCTTGTGTCCAGGCAAGGACAAAGATACGGCTGAGCTGGTATGCAGTCAGATGAAAACTGGGCCAGGAGAATGACTGGCAGAGTTTACTGCTGCTACAGAACTGAGGGACATGCAGAGGGTGAAGAAAAATTTCCGTTCCTTGCTCTGCCCTAGGAGCAGCTGTGTGACAAGTCCCTTATTCTGCACAGATTTCCCAGTGCCTGTGCAGTGTCCCTTAACTTCTGAGAAACATCATGCGTGGAAGAAGGAGGGGATAGAAGAGTCCGGTTGAAACATGTGATTCTGACAAAGGTTTAAAATGAACTAACTTGCTAACTGCATTTTTGTTTCTTCTTTGCAAGTAAAAAGATGGGATATAATACCCACAGCAAATTAGGCTGCTTTTATTCTAAAATGGGAATTTTAGTGTAGCCTACCTTCCTAAACAAAACTATAGCAAGTACTAATTATTTTCAATATATTGTTTTTCTTTTTCCACATTAAATTCCTCTGGAAACAACCACATGAGATTCAAAGGTACTCGCACAGCTAACTTTTTTTGGTGGGATTTGCATAGCCACACTATGCTAGTTTTTCAGGAGTTGATTTAGTTTTTATTTGTTGCTGTCATTTGACTAATAGTACCGCAATTTCAGCTGCAGGCAGTCAGCTGTGGTGTCACTAACCTAGTTCCTTTATGCAGCAGCATAACGTTACCATCAGCTTGAAAAGAGTACGTGAAAAGGTATGTAATAGGCAGCGCTGACTGATGGGACAGCTCCAGCAAGCCGTGTTGTTTTGTCCAAATCTAAATAGTACATGTGAATTTGTTGACTTAGCTGAAATGTTTGATGGAAACAAGTGTATACAAACCGGTCTGACTCTCTTATATTTTGACAAAGTAAGTACTTGATATGGTAAACATTTCATTTTAACTTTCATTCATTCAGGCTTTTATATGATATTATGTTGGTATTTTGTGAATTCAATTATTTTTCAGATATTTTGTAGCTCATTTCCTTATCTTTCAGCTGAAATACTTTGGTATTTCCATTTCACAGTAAATCTAGATTCTGCATTCCTATTTGAAATGAAATATCAGGATTTGCCATAGATTAGCTGTTCCAGCCAACTGTAATACTGTGGTTCAGGCTCTTATTCAGCAAAATATTTAAGTAAGCAACTAGGTTTAGGCATGAGTTGTCCAATTGTTGGGCTCTTTTTCTTCAATTATGCTTTCACTCATGCTTCACATTATGAATGGACTTAAAATATCTTGCTGCCTTAGCACATTTTAATGCCTTGGCATTAAAATAATCGCTATCATTAATTTGTAAGATTTCCCAAATTCAATCTGTGGTACAGTATCTGGAAGAAAAAAAAAAAAAAATGTTCTGGACTTTTTCTAATGTTACCAGAGCTGTAACATTGAGGACTTTTTCAAGATATTAAGAATTTTAAAATATAAGTCCTTGTAAAACCATATGTATATTCAGTCATTTGTACAGTGGAACGTTAAACTCACAAAAAACCCCCCCCAAAAACCAAACCTGAGAACAGCTTCTCAATGAAATGTTAATTTTATTTCTTCATATTCAAAAGAAAATACATACAAGGTCAATACAGTTAAAGTATATTCTAATTATACCATTAACCCCGGTCTAGAAGGATGATTTTAATAAGCTAGACTGTCACTTCTGTTTCTCAGTTTGTATAATTCAGTCTCTTTTGATCAAGGACTGTTATTTATGTTGAGCTGGTGATGATTCTGACTTATGGATCATAACCTAGTAAGAATTAAGCAGACATCATCAAGCTCATTTTTGCATTTATTTAATGAAATTACTGGTGCGTATTTGTCAGATTTCAGGACTTCATCCCTTTCAAACCTTGAGGAATTGACAAGCCAGGAAGTTAAAAGGTATCTATGTAGATTCCAGTCTCTCCTTGCACGTAACAGGAAAAAGGGGAGGGTGAAAGAGAGAATCTAACACATGCAAATATGTTGCCAGTAAAATACACAAACAAAATTAAGCCTTACATTTGTTTGCAGATCATTTTCATCTGGGATACTTTAGTAAATCAAATCACAGCAGGGAGACAGTTCCAGTGACTGATGAACTTCATTATGCCTCTGAGGAGTTACTATAGCAAAAAAACTCAACTAGCAATTTAAAAAGATCTGATGTACAATACAGCAGTGCCAGTTGCAGCATTATTTTTTTCAGTATGCAGCGGTTCGTAATATTTCTGTTTAGATCAAGCACAAGCAGACCGCAAAACTTTTTTTTAAAGCACAGCTGGTCAATGGAGTGTTACTCAGGAGTTTATTAATGTTGCTACACATGGATGCATATTCAAATACAGCCAAACATATTTTTGTGTATTTTTGTATTTTCTTAATGTCATGTCACAGCAAAGCTTATTTATAAGGGCTGGACTGATGAAACGTAGCTCTACCTACACACAGGTCGTGCACGATTATGCACTCTTACAACCAGGGCAGATATCCACTTCAGAGTTTGCTATTGCTTCATTGTCTTCTGACGTTCAGCAGCTTGCTGTCTAATGTAACTGCAAGTCAGGAAGATTTGTGGGTCAGGAAGGGATGTGTGTGTGAATTTTTCATAATGCATTTTCATAATGATATTGTGAAGGTTTCCTTTAATGGAAGATCAAAGGGGCTTTCATCTAACAGAGTTAGGGCTCAGTTTGTTTAAAAAGAGAAATCTTTGCTCAAGTAGAGGAGAAAATGGAAGGTTTTCATTGTAATATCAAGTGTCTAAAGATTTTATTTTTAACCGTCAAGAAAAATTGACAAGCAAGTGACAAGTCATATATATACAGTCTAATTGCATCTTCCCTGAAGCTCAGAGTGAAAATTGGATTTAGCATCTCTATTGCACGATGGAAAAAAAATAAAAATCACCCTGTCAAAAAGATGCAGACTCAACCCATGCCCCTAAATTCTAGGAGATATTCAAGATATTAGCACCATAAAATTACATTTATTACAAGCTAACATCTCTCAGGCTACTGCTCTCTGCTGATTTCCTTCCCCTCTTGCTGATTTCATGTTTCTTCTTGCTGTGTTTATTTCTATTACTCTAACCTCTTCCTCATTTTTCTTTTTCTTCTCCTTTCACCTTGATTGTTTCATGCTATTAGAATCTAAAGGAGACAAGTTTTCTGCTGCACTGCATCCATTTTGACACGTCTGCTAAATTTTGCTCAATAATTATCTGATACTTCAATATGCAAAGTATACTGTATTAAAGAACTGCCCTTTGAAAGATAGGTAAGTTTTAGCACACACATTCGATTAATAGAAAAGAGTCAGTAGGCAGTACTCAACAATGAACAGCATAATCCCTATCCACTGTAAATCACTTATAATTAGGAGCTGGTGCTGGTGTGAAATGCAAATGGTTGTAGTTATCACCACAGGGAAGTAGAGGGAAGCAGGGAAGCGCTCCCCTCACTCTCCAGTGCCATTCGATACAAAAAAGTGGGTTCATATGAAGACTGGAAGGGGCCTGGGTATCACCCCAACCAATTGTGCATCTTCGTGCTAGCACACCCATGAAGACATGCTATAGAAAGGGTTTATTCTGTCCCTGTGCTTCACCAATATGTCAGCAAAACATTATGTTGCTTTTTACATTACTATGCTCTGCTAGTCCAGAATTCCATATAATTGTTGTATATCATGATAGAAATTAAAAAGAAGAGCTGGTGAAGAGGGCTTTAAACTAAAGTTGCTGGGGGAGGGGAATCTCAATCCATCCCACTCCTACCAGCTGGATGCCAGTGCCAGCAATAGATGCCCGGAGAAGGATCACAGGTCAGCAGGAGAGCACCCAAAGTGCTGCCCAAAGGAATTCCAGCCACTCCAGCCAGTCAGTCAGCATCATCGGGGGCCCAACTGAAATGCCTCTATGCAAACGTATGTAGCATGGGGAATAAACAAGAGGAGCTGGAGATGTGTGCACGCCTGCAGGGCTGTGATCTTATTGGCATCATGGACATGTGGTGGGATGGCTGCTATGACTGGAGTGTT